CTTCAACCCATTTACTTGTTGTGAAGAATATTTCTTATAGGTCACTAAGACACATGGGCTGTTTAGATGCTAACAGTGATGCCTTGGGTTGGTATGATTGGCAAATTACCCAGCATTGGTGCGATGCTACCTCCCCCCATGCCTGAGGCAGGTGCTGCTTTTCAACCTCCCACTCTTTCCCACAGAGTTTGCACTTGCCTCTGAAACCTTCTCCAGACACCCCAGGTATCATCATCATCAGTCCAGGTTCCAGAAAGTCACAGCCAAATAATGGGAGCAAGCACACCCACTGAGCCGCCCTAGGGTTCTAGCCAGTGTAAACTCTGTTTATGCCAATTTTGGAAGTAGGCTCACTCATCAAGAACTCTTTTTTTAAAATATATTTTATTGATTTTTTCACAGAGAGAAAGGGAGAGGGATAGAGAGTTAGAAACATCGATGAGAGAGAAGCATCAATCAGCTGCCTCCTGCACACCCCCTACTGGGGGTGAGCCTGCAACCAAGGTACATGCCCTTGACTGGAATTGAACCTGGGACCCTTCAGTCCACAGGCCAACGCTCTATCCACTGAACCAAACCAGTTAGGGCTTGTCAAGAACTCTTACCTTATTATGTACATTTGGAAGTTAGGTGAAAACCTATCATAGCAATAAAGCTTGGATTTCTAATGATGATAAACATTTACTAACCAATAGACCTAATAACAATGAACAATTTCATTAAAGGTCTCTTTTTTACATTAGCCAAAGACTTTTCATTCTAGATGCACCCGTGCTTCTTTTAATTTTTAAAAAGTCAAGTGGCCTCTGCTTTCTTTCCGCCTCGGGGCTTCTCACTTGATTGAATGACATCATGGATCAGTTTTCCAGAGCCCTGCAGCCATCCTGTAGTTGATGTTAATGATCCTGGCCTTTGGCAATGAACAATTCATTCTGCTGCAATGACTAAATTGGGAAAGAATCTCTAGGGCAGTGGTTCTCAACCTTCCTAATGCCGCGACCCTTTAACACAGTTCCTCATGTTGTGGTGACCCCCAACCATAAAATTATTTTCGTTGCTACTTCATAACTGTAATTTTGCTACTGTTATGAATTTTAATGTAAATATAATATGCAGGATGTATTTTCATTGTTACAAATTGAACATAATTAAAGCATAGTGGTCCTGGCCAGTTTGGCTCAGTGGATAGAGCGTCGGCCTGCTGACTGAAAGGTCCCAGGTTCAATTCCGGTCAAGGGCATGTACCTTGGTTGTGGGCACATCCCCGGTAGGGGGTGTGCGGGAGGCAGCTGATCGATGTTTCTCTCTCATAGATGTTTCTAACTCTCTGTCCCTCTCCCTTCCTCTCTGTAAAAAATCAATAAAATATATTTTTAAAAAGCATAGTGATTAATCACAAAAACAGTATGTAATTATATATGTGTTTTCCGATGGTCTTAGGCGATCCCTGTGAAAGGGTCGTTCGACCCCCAAAGGGGTGGCGACCCACAGGTTGAGAACCGCTGCTCTAGGGGAAGCCCTGGAAGAATGATCCATGGCAGGGTTTCAGGAGGAGCGGGAGGTGCAGAGGTTGTTCACACAAGGAAATGGTAGCAGCCAGGATGTGGAAGCCTTTCTACCTGGGGCTCCACTCACTGAGCCCAGGGGTTAGGAACTGGTGTCAGCTGAATGCCCCGTGTGCTCCTGGGTCGCACCAGTCATTAGGACCAGGGGCCTGAAGCCGGGACATAGTAGAGTTTGGCCCCATTCCCTACTCACTCTCCTTATTGGAGACTTAAAGAACTCCCAACAGAACCCCTTTGTGGGTCCCCAGCGAGCTCCGTGTCGCCCCAGCCTCTGGCATGGCCAGTACCCGCCCTGCTGGGAGTCCCCACCTGCAGGACAAGGGGAAGGAGCTACTTCCTTCCTGCCGCAAAGGAGCCTGCAGGTGAGAGCTGGGTGGTTAGATCTTACCTTTCCCCTCTGCACTGGGACAACACGATGTCCCCTCCCAGTTTGACGCCCTTCATCCTGCCATCCGCTCCCAAGTCCCCTTTACCATTTCTTCCAGAGCTGCTAGAAATGAGTGCAAATGAGGCTGATGGGACTACTTCCTACTCTAAATCACTGGGCTGAAACTTGCTAGTTTTCAGGGGTGTAGTGCGGGGCAAGAATGTCATCCCCCTCCACTGCCTAGGCCGGCCTCTGCCCCCACCCCTCCCACTTCCTTCTGTTATGACCCGATAAGGCCCCCATCTGGCTGCCTGCCTGTACCCAGGCTTTCCTGTCCTCTGGAACTGGGGACCAGGGTGGAGTGGGAGTGAGGGAGTAAGTGAGGAAAAGAAAAAGGAATAGAGTGGCAGAATGGTATGTGGTTCTAGCCAAGATGTTCTGTTAGCAGAGCCCAGCCTTGGCCTGACCCCTCCTCCCAGCGGCAGGGCTAGCAGGCAGGGTTGTTAGATAATAGTTTCAAGCATTGTCTGCCAGGTCATGTACGCAAGGCGGTTTAGAGGTGTCAGTGAAATGGATGACAGTGTACCTGTCTTGACATCCTAGCACCGGAGGTAAGTGTGCTCAGCAGGCTGCTGCAGGGAGGGGATGGGAACTGTACGACAAGGCAGTCACCCTGGAGACAAAGATGTGAAATAATTATGATGTGACCCTAGTGACAATATGGCTTACCTGGTTTACCTGGTCTTGTAACCTAATGAAGAACAATGTCCATAACCCAATGAACGTTCTAATCATTAAAATGCTCGTGTCTGTAAATATTCCTCACCTCTTTTTAGGAAAGATTTGAGGCTAAGTACACAAATAATTGTGCTTAGTCATAAAGAATGAGCCAAGTGCTATAAGAGAGCTACACACTGGCCAGAGAGAAAGTGTGTGAGAAGGAGCTCTGGACTTTGGGGACCCCAGCACATACCAGCTCGCGGCCTCCAGGAGGCATTTACCTCTCAGTTTCCTCATTAGCCAACTGGACTTAATTCACTGCTGCTCTGCAGAGTTTTTGTGAGGCTTAGAGACAATACATGTAAAGTACCTACCACAACGTCCCAAATAGATGAGCCTTCATGAATAACAGCTACCACTACTACTAGAGTTTTTATTTTATTTTTAAAAAAATCAGACTTCTAAAAAATGTTTCTATTGATTTTGAGAGAGAGAAAAGGAGAGGGGTAGAGAGATAGAAATATGGATGAGAGAAGAACATCATCAACCTGCTGCCTCCTGCATGCCCCCTACTGGTGATAAAGCTGCAACCTGGGCAAGTGCCCTGACCAGGAGTGGAACCGGTAACCTCTTGGTTCCTGGGTCGATGCTCAACTGCTGAGCATCACCAGCTTGGCTACTACTAGAGTTTTAAAACAAGCCGTGATAGAACTTCTGTGTGCCATCTGAAAATACCTTCCTGGATGCGAGCATCCAAAGAGGAGTGGGATCAGGGAATCCTAATCCCAAAGGCTCCAAGAGTCTGGCTCAGCTTCTGGGAACATACTCTTCAGGAGGAGGGGGTGGGCACCTTGAACCCCTATGTGCCTCCTTGGCCAGGGTAACAATCCAATCGCTGCTGCCACAGGTTGAGGCCCACTTTACATTCACGTTCCCATTTTATCCTCACGGTGGTCCTATAAAGTGTATACAGGTAAGAGAATGACGGCCGGGCAGCTTGCCTAGGCCACGCCAGTGGTGGAGTTGGGATTTGGGTTCAAGTCCAAGCTCTCTGCCACTTCCCTAGAGTGGGCCTCCAGCCACACTAAACAAAACAATGCCTGCCTCCTGGGATTCTCCACCGCTGCCCTCCCCTCACCTTTACCTCCCTCTTCTCACCCCCTCACTCACCTCCAGGCTGTGCTCTGGACTCTACTCTCTTCAATCCCACATCCTTCTCCTGAAAGTGAAATTGCTGACATAGTGCCTTCCTCCTGGGAGCGCGCGTTCCTAGCCCTCTTACAAGGGTCCAGTCTCCTTACAAGGCCCTGGGAACTCCCCCAAACCGGATCCACGGGTAGGCATGCTGCCTCTGTGTGTGTTTGTGTGTGTGTGTGTGTGTGTGTGTGTGTGAGAGAGAGAGAGAGAGAGAGAGAGAGAGAGAGAGAGAGAGAGAGCCCCTGCACCACCCCGCAGTTGTTGGGAACCGGGCTCACTGGTGCTCCCTAGGGGAGAGCACTTCAGCTGTAGCCCCTTCGCTAAGCCCCTGAGGTTCCTGCCTTGCCTGCCAGTGCCCATAGGATGTCTTGGCCTCACCCCGCTCCCTGCCATCCTCCAACCCGAGGGCAGGAAGAGGTGCTGGGAGAGCCGGGCCCCCGGTTGCCTCCCCCGTTCTGTGCAGTTTGCGCCGGGCCCGTTTCGGAGGGAGAAGGGGAGAGTGCAGATGCGGCCAGGCTCCCGCAGGGCCGAGCGCGGGCGGGCAGTGCCACCTGCCGAGAGCCCCGCGGGCGGGCCACCTGCTATAAATAGGCTGCTGAGGACGGAGTGTGCGGCCGCACCTCCCGCCACGAGGGCCTTAATCACGCGCGGGCTCCGCGCCCCGGGGCTCCAGGCGAACCGTGGGCCGAGACCCCGCGCTGGGACGGCGCCCCGACACCCTCCCCCGGGCCAGGGCTGGAGCCCGCGGGCGGCGGAGGATGCACCGCCCGGAAGAGCAGAGGCCGGGAGGGGCGGGAGGCCGCGGCGGACCCGCACTGCAGCAGCTGTCGCCCGCGTGGGGCTCGCCCGTCCCGGCCGTGCCGCTCCGGCGGTCACACGGCGCAGCGTGGAGGGGGGCGCCGCGTCCCCCTCGCAGGTCCCGGGGGACCGAGTCGGGAGATCCCGGCTCCCGCCCGCCCCTCGCCTCCCCCGCGCTCGCCCAGCCGGGGAGGAGGAAACGCGAGCCGCGCGCAGACACCTCCTCCTCCTCCTCCTCCTCCTGCTCCTGCTCAGCCTCCGCTGCCGCCGCCGCCGCCGAGCCTGTTGCTGCCGCCGCCGCGGACGCCGGACCCGCTGGGTCCCCAGCCGGGTGAAGAGGCGGGAGCCGAGCCGGGGGCCCCTCCCGGCCCTGGCGGCTGGAAGCACGCTGCCAGGGGGCACGATGGACGCCCCGCGCGCCCAGGCCGTCCCCAAGCTGCCCCCCAGCACCTGAGCGCCCGGCCCGGCCCCGCGCCCTGAGCGCGCCGCCGCACAGGTAGGCGCCTTCTCCGGCCGCTTCCGAGCCACGCGGCTGGTTCCTCCCGGGGCATCCCGGCCGCACCCCACCCCCGGCCCCAGAGCTCCCCGGCCCGCGGAGGAGCCGGATTCGGGCAGCCCAGGGGCGATTCTGCGGCGCAGGAAACCCGGGGGCTCTCGGGGGAGGAAGTTCATTGCCACCTCCTTGCCCGCTCCTTGGACCAAAATGAAACCTTCTAGTTCTTAAGGACCCAGAAGCTCGGAGAGCCTCCCTCCTTCTGTCCTCCCCACTCCTGCTCTAAGGTCCTCGCATCTCCCTCCTTCCCCTCCCGCCAAATATCTCTATGGCTACTGCGCTTGTAAGGCGACCAGGTTGGGGGATGGTCGGTTGGAGTAATCCCATGCCACCCTTTGAAAGTTCAGGGTACTTCGCAGTAGTAACTTTGGCAGCTGCCCCAGTGCGCTCAACATTTCTTCCTATGGGCACATCCTGGACCCGTCATTTCGAAACCCTGCTTAATTGTTTCTTGCTGTTTCCTGATTGGTCTGTGATTATGGGACCCCCTTCAAACTTCGGGACACGTTGTTGCGTTTACTTTAAAAAAAAAGAGGAGTCTTTTTCTTTGGAATCCACCTAGAGGCGGCTTTCCCCGTTGTAAGTTCATTGATAATAGCTTATTCTCTGCAAGTCGCTTAGAAAGGGAAAAAAAAATTGAAAGTGATTAACTGTTCCACTAAACAGTTTTTAGAGTGCCCTACATTAATGGACAGGTATTCACTTCACGTAGATCTCATTCCTCCTTTTGGATCATTTAATTGATTAATATAATCAGAAAGAGCATTTTAAAATGACCTGGTTTGTACCGGTCACACCCAAGCAACTCAGCTACCTCTACAAGTCCAAACTTCTAAACTTTTTGCACTGGACTTAAGCTGAGCTGCAGCGGCCTTGATGAAAAGCCCTTTTTTAGGAAAGCAGAAATTCATTCTCTTCCCCAGATTCCAGATGGGATGGGTTGGAGTTGGAGAATGGCCACCTGTGGGTGCTGTTGTGTGTTGAGAACCTGCTCTGGGTGGGAGGGGTTGGGTGGAAGAATGAACGGGCGCTGTCTCAGGAGGCTGGGAATCCTCCTTGCTGGACTAGATGCTTCTGAACAATTCCTGCTCTCTCTCTCTCTCTCTCTTGGGTTAGGGAGCCCTGGGGCAGGTGGGTCCTGGAGTTGAGCTGGCTACTCTTGTGGGGGAGGAGCTTCTTTCTCCCTGGGAACCTTGGAGACATTCGGGAATAAGGACATTGTATGAAAAAGTTTGTCAACAGAAAAGGGTTGACGACTATTGTTAACAGGTGTTTTGCATCTGTTGGGAATGGAATGCCATTACAGTGTCAAATCTATTTTTTTTTTCTAATCAAGTTATAGGGAAATAAGACTCAGAAGTGCTTTCTCACCAGATTTATCTATAAGTAACTGACAAAACGAGCTACCGGGTAGGGAGCACAGCTGTGAGTTAAAGGATGAAATGTTGAGGGGACATTTTCTTTTTTTTTTAAAGTTTTTTTTATTGATTTTTTTTTGGGGGGGGGGGAGAGAGAGAAAGGCAGGGAGAGGGAGAGAGAGAGAAGCATCCATGTGAGAGTGAAGTTATCAGTTGGCTGCCTCCTGCATGACCCCTACTGGGATTGAGCCCACAATCAGGGCATGTGCCCTGACTGGGAATTGAACTGGCAACCCTTCTGTGCACCAGATGACACCCAGCCAATCAGGTGATAATGAAAATAAATGCCTTTATGTGGATTTGTCTAGCTGTTTGCAAACCAGTAAAATAGGAGGAAAATTCATTGATTTTATAAATTATTAATTTAAAAAGTAAAGTTTTGCAAATAGGACTGTGACATAGTCGACCATTATCTTTCCCACAGAGCACTCTGGGGATTTCCCCTTTCACTATGATAACGTTTCTGGTTGGGTGCCATCATGTCAGTGCTGCCATTTATCCCATTATGACATTGTTTGTCATAGTACCAGAGGAGGATGAGAAAGAAGGGCAACTCTGAAGAAACATAGCTTGCCCCTTCTCCCTTGTTACCCAGCTATTGACAATCTCAGTCTCCTAATTCCCTAGAAAACAGCCTTTGCCTGGCCAGCGTAGCTCAGTGATTGAGCTTTGACTAATGAACCAGGAGGTCACGGTTCGATTTCGGTCAGGGTACATGCCTGGGTTGCGGGCTTGATCCCCAGTGGAGGGCGGGGGTGCAAGAGGCAGCCGATCAATGATTGTCTTTCATCATTGATGTTTCTCTCTCTCTCTCTCTCTCTCTCTCTCTCTCTCTCTCTCTCTCTCTCTCTCTTCCTCTCTGAAATCAATAAAAAGATGTATTAAAAAAAAACAAAAAACAAAAAACAGCCTTTATCAGAAGGGCTGCAGTGGCAATCAGATGTACCCCCAAGGGGAGCCAGGTACGGGGAGTCAGTTCCTTTCATGCCAGACCTTCTTGGATGTACTGCTGGGAAGCAGCCAGGAGTGCTGTCCTAAGCAGCATGGAGCTTCCCTAGTTCCCATTCACACCTGCATCTCCAGTCACTATGGTGCCTGGAGTAGGGCTGCATGCTTGAGAGGGTTTTGTTTTTGAATATGTTTTAATTTTATGTCACAAAATGACAACTCCCTCAAACAGATTTTACTCCCTTCATAGCATTTCTCTGAAGGTCCCTAGTTTCCACTCTTCAGATTCCTCAGACCACCTAACATGTGTATCAGCCCCCTTGGGGGCTTCTGTCTGCTTGTGTGTGGGTGCCTTGGCATAATTTGCTTTGCCCTTTTCCTTACCTTCTCAAGTGTAATGGCTGTGTGAGTTCCAGAATGTGATATGTTTCTCAGGCCTTCTCTTTTCTTGATCATTAAAAGCTGGAGAAACAGAATCTGTTCATTAAAAATGACCGTGAGTGCACTGAGCAGAGTGTTGGTGATGGCAAAGGGTTACCTTACAATTGCCTTTGCTGACTTTTATCTTCATTTCTTCCTTCCCAGCTCCACACACACATAAAAATATTTTAAAACCAGATTCTTCACAAAAGACAGGAAGGTTTCCATTTTCAAGGTTTTGACATTTTCAAGCCGAGATTTCCATTGGATGGATTCTTAGATATAAGGGCAGTGTGTCCCTTTTCAGGTTTCAAATGTTCAGCAAAAGATCAGTCATATTTGGGCCATGCGAAGCAGTCTCGGCACTGAGGCCTCAGTGAAGCTGTGCAGAATTCAGAGAGCCTGCTCAGCACCAGCCAACAGACAGGCATTTAGGCTTGAGTGTGCCTGTTTCCTTGTGACAAGCAGCAGCTCTTTTTCTCTTAAAAAAAGAATATACATATCTGCCAATACATTATGTATGATCAGTGATCCTACACTGCCAAAATAGGTAAGCATTATGGGTTCATCGTCAAACTTAATTCATCTATGTGACATTCTTAGAACAGTGCCCGGTACATAGTAATACTCAAATATTACTTACTGCTATTATTTAATTGTTTATTTTATATTTTTAGAGTATAACTTTGACATTAGATTTGGATTACTGAGGCCAAGAAAGATTTGGGTAGAAAACAACCCAGCTAATCCACTAGAAAGAGGAATTTTAGAGTTATTCCCTTCTAGAGATATTCTTATATCTCAAAGAATAGAAATTTGGGCATAAGACAGGTCTGGATTCAAATCCTGCCTTCCCCATTTACTAGTACAAGCCAGGGGACCCTTAGGTAAAATGGGGGTGATAAAACATGCTTCTCAGAGTTGTAAGACTACATATAGTATACGTAATATCCTAAAAGAGGCAATTAATCAATCTAGCAAAATAGTTAAGCCCAAATACAAACTCTGCCGAAGGACCAGGGTTCAAAACCTGGTTGGCCATTTGCTACTAGTATGACTATGAGCAAGTGACTTCAGTTCTCTGTGCAGCAATTTCCTTCTCATTTTTCTTCTTTAAATTGGAGCTGATAATGATAGTATTTCATAATAGTCCTTATTCCAGTGTGGTAATAATAATCTTTATTGTCCAAGGTGGTTGTGAAAGCTAAGTTGGATAATAGACACAAAAGTGCTATTATATGTTAACAATTATTACTAATAGAGGAATGGATAAAGATGTGCTACATATATACAATGGACTATTACTCAGCCATTAAAGATGAAATCTAGCCATTTGTGACAGCATGGGTGGACCTAGAGGGTATTATGCTAAGTGAAATATAGACAAAGACAAATAGTATATGATTTCACTTATATGTGGAATCTAAAAATGAACAAACAAAACAGAAACAAACTCATAAATACAGAGAACATTTTTAAAATATATTTTTATTGATTTCAGAGAGGAAGGGAAAGGGAGAGAGAGATAGAAACATCAATGATGAGAGAGAATCACTGATCGTCTGCCTTCTGCATGCCCCCTACTGGGGATCAAGCCCGAAACCCGAGTATTTGCCCTTGACTGTGGGGAAGTATGGGACTTCGTTGGAAAGTCTGTAAGGAGGATTTTCTAAAGGTCAGAGGCCCCTGGGGGACCTTGCTGAAGGCAGCAGATTTTGCCTTGACTTTTCCAAACAAGTCTGAGTCCTTGAGTGTTTTATTAGAATTTTAATGTTTAGATTTCAAAATGTGCTTGTTTGAAAGACATTACAGATGCAGGTGTCTTCTCAAGGATGCTTACCCTGTTGATTGTATTTAGAGGTTAATTTTAGTTCAAGCTGTTGTTACAATAAAAGCCTAACGAGGCAGGCAATCGAGGCTTTTTTGGCTTCTTATGCCAACCAGTCCCTTAGCCTCTTTTTCACAGAAATGTGTGTCAAAGTAATCATTCATTCGTCATTCAGGGTCTGCCAGCCAGCCCCAGCACTTGATTGGAATTGAACCCGGGACCCTTCAGTCTGCAGGCCGACATTCTATCCACTGAGCCAAACTGGGTTGGGCTGGAGAACATTTTAACAGTTGCCTGAAGAGAAGGGGGTTGGGGAATACGTTTAAAAA